ATACTGTCCCGTATGTTATACACCGATTGGTTTTAAGTTAGGCCTTCTTAATTCTCCTACACATCTCCTTTACGTCATCCTTCACCCCTTGCCTTCAAGTTTCTACGCGCTCTCATATTCCCTTTCCTGTACGCTTTTTTCACACGTTCATATTTCGCTCCTTTTTTTCTTAGGCCTCCATGATTCTATGTGCTTTTTGCTGTCACAATTTCTTTCGTGTTTCCTTCACCACTCCTTCGCACTTTCTTCGCTATTTCTGGCCGCCCACTTCGCATCTTATTCTTTCGCACATCGTTCATGACTGTTTCGCTCTTCACGTCACCATGCATTCTTCCTTTCGTGTCCTTTAGCGCATTTTTTTTTAAGATTTTGAGTTTTAGTCTTCTCCGTTGCCTCTTTTAGGACTGTACAAATATTTTTACGCTGTCTTGACCTTTTTGACGGTTTCAACTTCATAAGGTATCCCTCTTTACGTATTCTTTACACTTTTTTCATGCTACCTCCACGTATACGCGTTCAGCGCTGCTTCCTCCATGCTCCTCACGTACACGCCTCTATTCTTCATTCCTTTCATCATGTTTTTCATAAAGTCTTTTTTTAATACTTCCTTCACCCCCCATTTTTCACACGATTACTTTTTAGATCAGTATTAAAAAAATCATTTTATCGGCTATAACTTTTGATGCGCTAATCTATCGATCATTTTCGAAGGCAATCCTTTGATTGGGGAGAATAAACGTTTTATTTCATATGTAATCAAATATTTCGAACATTATACAGTATAATATGCGATGATTCCTTAGATCTGTTTTCAATACCGATCCATTTTCGGTCCAAAATTGGTATTCAGTACCCTCAAAAATACATGGGTACCTTGAAAAATTTTGTTTAACATACACTTTTTGGTACAGATTTGTAAATAATCGAAATAACCATCGTGGATCCAACAAGGAACAAGTGTAAAAAAGGAAGAAAAAGAATCCCCTTATGTGATATGTTCGTCTGCTCCTCGTCTAACTCGAGAATGAAAAGAGACAGCGATGTCAAACCGTCGCCAGTCGATTTCTACGAGTTCAAGGATCAGTGCTATCGAATATGAGCCGGATTAAAAGTTGGTTTCCGAATGCGAGCTAAGTGTCACAAAATTCCCCAACTGAAAATCGTATGCAATTCTTTGTATCATGTTTCAAATTTACTGTTTTTATGAGTGTTCTGACGATCAAAAATATAAATTTAATATATACCTTTTGTTAAATTCATAAAAATATGTTGCTATTTAAAAAATTAAAGAAATAAGTATATTTATACTTAATAAAGCACAATCGTATGAAAACGACTTTAATTTACGACATAATTTAGCGCGACTTCATTGCGTCTTTAAAATAAATTATAATTCAAATTTCAACTAACCTAATTTTGGAAAAGGCCTAAGAACAAAACTCTTGGAATATGATTGCTTGAATATCGCCTCCCAATTCCTTTGATGAATTTTCCCATTTAGTAGCATTAAATTAACAAACGATTTGGATACACGATTCAAGCGACATATCCCGCATAACTTTGTAGTCAATTTTTTTTGCCGTACTACAAACGAGCTTTGTGTTTGAGCGATAACGGAGAAAATGAAACTTGATTCGCCAAAATTCATCTGACGTTTTGTGCTAATTTTCCAGTCCGACACAATCTTGTGCCGTGTTCGTAGTTACGGAGTTTCAGTTTGAGAAAAAGTATTTCTTGTGTAGCCAAAAGTAGCCCAAAATCGTGGCCTGAATATATCCATATGGATTCAAAAAAGAATCCTTTTTTGTTTAAATTTTCCCAACACAATTACTACACAAGGACAAAAATAAAGAATTTGGCGTATAATTTAAAAATATGGAAAAAAGTTGGTCAATCTTACTTCTTGTATTATACACAAAAGCGACATAATTATCTATTAATCTACACAAATTTGTCTTTCCCTTTCATATCACGCGTTTATCAAATTTATTAAAAATCTTCTCCATAATAATTTCTCCCATCTTGAATCACAGATTTATTAACTTTTGTTGGAAAAACTGATACTACCTAACTACCCTAACTCGGGTAGTCAGATGTTTCCCGGGAAATTTACTGCGCGAGCACACTGATAATTATGTTACGAATTGTGTAATAACTATTTTTTATCGCTCTCAACTTGATCGGTTCAAAAAGTGTTATCTACGTATACCTTGGGGTGTATCGACAACAAGTTTTTAACTTAGTCGCTGCACCTTAGACGTTACAAATGTTATTTTATTTTCATTTTGCACATTTTTTTGCATTTACATTTATATATAGGTTAGGTTTCTGTTACAACAAGAATGTAAATAAATGGTTATAAATATGTATCACATTAATATTTGTTTAGAATGCTAGTCTCCCATTTTATGGATTTTGAAAAACAGGGACCTCATGTTCTACATTTTTTGGAGCGTGATTGTGTTGAAGGAAAGGTTTCTTTAATATTTTTTTTTAATTTGATTGTTTTGAAGGAAATATTTCTTCTGACGATATTAATATTTCAGGGTATCTAAAATTGTCCTGTACTCTCAGAGGTCTTTCGTGATGAGCTTTATTCCGAACGTAATTTCGATCATTGTTACAGGTTTTTGAAAAATAGTGCCATTCGTCTCAATAGAAGTCGAATTTTCGAATTTGAAATCGAAATCGAAATCCTCCGAGAAATTTCTGGTCGGTAAGCAAAATCTGGTTTATTTTGCATTTGAAACGCTGTCCAAGACTAGTACACTTGTTGTTTTGTTGTAACTTTTATTAAATTCGACTTAAAAAAAAATCTAGGTAAGGGCCAGGATAACTTGCATCTTTATATTTTTTGTTCGATTATTACTATTGCATTACTATACAATCGTAGATTTACATTTCCTCAACACATTGTCAAATATTGTAGATAAAAGTTAAAAACACGGCCTCAAGCGTTGAAAAAGGAGGAAGGAGAAAACTTTTGAAAGCCCTCTCGTAAAAGTTTAATTTTAATGGTCACCGAGACTATGACTATACGAAATGACTGTGGAAAGGTACGTTTTACTGAACGGTAACGTATATCGTGAAATGGTTGGTATGTGGATCATTCGAACATACCCTCCACGCAAAGCTCAGACCTGAATGAATGAGTAACATTCGAAAACTCAAATGCCAATATGCAAAATTTTAGGGATGGTTGCGAAAGGTTTCCAATTGACATAACCATAGTAAAGATGGCTCCAAGGAAATTCACGGTCTACCCATTTTTCAAATTTATAAATTTCATTGGTGACACCACCCCCACTAAATATAATTATCATAAGGGTATAATGCAAACAGGAAATGGTTGTAATAATTTTCCCTAATGTCCTCTAATAATAATTTTTATCGATAATTTTTCATTAAAAAAATAGTTCGTTTATTTTTCGGTGCAGCATAAAAATGGTGTCTTTTGGGTTACCGCAGCAACACTCTATGACCCCGTAAATTATAGCTAAAAATTATTTATGCAAACAAATCGACGTGGATGAGGCAAGAAATAATTTACCCGCCATAAATAAGCTTTTGAAACAATTTTCTGAATACATTATTTAATGGTCTATTAATTTTTCGATAATTGGGACATCTTTTACACACGGATTATAAAAATAAATACAGGTACACTGTTGTTTATTGTAAAATATTCACAATAATACATCCTTTCACTTGATGAGGTAATATAAATAGAATATGTTTTCAATCGATTTTTTTACGTGATTGCTTGCCTATATAGTATTTCGCAATATAATGTTAATATTCTTGCAAGAAAAGCAACACCAAGGATTTTAATTTGTACGATCTTTAATACCAAATTGTTTTATTATGAAAGAATTTTGTAACGCGCCAATATTTATTACATACACAACGCAAATTTATATACGCTATTAAATGCGACACATCAATCAATTGTGCGGCAGAAACAATTAGTTATTAAGGCGATGATGGAGAACTCCAGTTTTTTTGTTGGTAGAAAAAAAGTTTAATTAACTAATGTGCAAACAAATTCGTAATTTTATGCAGAAGAATTGGGTAACCTTGATATGTCTAATGAAAATATACCTTTAGAGGCTTTAATTAATATTAGTGTAATTATGTTCGTTTTTAGCATACCACTTCCTACACCATTGTGTTCACACATAAACTTGGCGAAGAAGCGGCTAAGTTGTGTAAATTTTCTTGCACAATATTCACGGTAATCGATGCATAAACAAAGGATTAGATTATTACGATTAAAAAAAGGCAAAATCATGTACCATATTTGCTAAGAAGGTCGCCTCCTACACTGCAAGCGTCGTGATTGATTATTTTTCTAATTGATGCTCGGGTTGAGGCAATTTTGCCTGTACCGTACAAGTATGCGGCATAATTATTCTTGCCCACCACCTTTTTTTTTACGAAACAATTCCGGATCAGATGACCACTTTGAAAACTAATTATCCCTGCAGCGAGTGCTAATCTCAAAGGGTTACTTAACAGTTAACTTCTCGGAAAAACTGGGCGAATCCCGTTAAGGGTTTCTGAAAGACTGCCCATAATAGTCCATGAAATTGCTTTAAACTTCTGACAATGAGGACTAACTTGTGGTTATGTAAATTTGGTAACGAAAGCCCCCATTGTGCCCGTCCTGAGATTTATGACGTTTTATTTCGAACGTTTGAAATTTTTCCAGATTAACGCTGAAAGGATAATTTATAATGGGCAATCTGTATCATATCAAAACGTGTTTTTTGAGTCCGCCGAGATGGATATTTAAATTTGAATCTCGACGGGGGTTCTAATTAATTTGGAGCGTAGTGTCAATTTGAGCGCGGTCGTAATTAAAAGTGCCGTGGCGGACTTTTTCGATTATTACGCACATTTTGAGAAGTAAGAATGAAAGTTGTCATCGCGTAGCGTGACTGAGTGCCGTCGGAAGGTTCGTCGTTTAACCTATCATTAAAGTCTCCCAGTTAACTCACCTTAAAGCGCTTATTTCCCGAATGTGACTGGCGTAGGTCCCTTATAGCACATTTCCATTATTGTCACTATGAGAAAATGTTGTAATGCTGATGATCATGATGTTCCCAGTTCGATAATAATCACTAATCACTCGTCAATAAACTAAGTAATCACACTTTCGCTGGTGTTAATTTCGAAATTGTACATTTATATTGTTATCATCACTTAGCACAGATTTGAAATGTGGGTCACTTAGCGCATTTGTCCTAATGACTGATGCAGGCAAAAAAAATCTTACGCGTGACGATACTAGGGGTTGTATACAAATGTCACTTTTCTATAGTGGGTTATAGATGACTAACAGCGAAGATCTAAGCATAGAATGAGCAAAGTAACTCCTTCGTCTTGAGATACCTGATCAGGAGGGGATCCTACCTGTCGGAAGGTCGGTAATCTTCTGGTGGGGACATGGGGAGGGATAATATATTGATGTTTGAATTAGTGTCCTACAGACAAGAATCTTGATTTTTATTTCATACGTTTGAAATCATTGGTGTTAGACTTTTGGTGGGGACAAAGTAAAATTAATATGCCACATGAGTTTTTGCACCATCAGTAGACTTAACACGTTAGAGGAACCTGTGGCGTATCGTCATAATAAAGGATGCAGCAAAAACACACTAAAAATAAATATTACTCATCATCACGTTCCATTTTATAATTAACGATTTTTATTCACGTCAATTTCCCATACGATTTTTCGAAAGGATTGTTTACAAACGTAAATACGAGGAATTCATTCATCCCAGCATTCAGCGGCCGAACATTACTCGTTTTCAGGAAATTACTTTCGTTGGAAAAAAAATCTATTTTGATTTCTAGCATTTTTAGCACGGCGACAATCCCTGTGGGAAAAATTAGATAAGGTCAGTGAGGTTGTGCATATTTCCGCCGCCGCATTTAAGAAAACTTGACCGTGCACATTTCTATTTGATAAATTATCGGCCGTTTTAACATACTAATGTAAAACTTCCTGTCAAAACAACACAAAAACACAGTTTTAACGGTTCATCATTTTCACGGGGTCGTGAATGTCGAAAGCTGCTCCCTTTGTTAATTTCTCTTCCGACGACCATTACACGGATGCAAGATTTTAGTTCACTAAAAGGACAATCGAACAATCGGGCGAGGATAAATTATTTTGGCACGGATTCGCAAATTGTTTAAATAAATATGCAGCCATTTGTCTGTATTTGCCTTTGGAATAACACTAATGTGGATCAGATATTTAAATTTTTAGAATGAGAATCTATTCTTACGCTCTTATGAGTTATTAAAGAATGGGGCGCAACGTTTTACAATAGGATTCCCACTGTACACCTGTTCTTGACGTTGTTAAATTGAAAATCCTTTCCCACCTTAACTTTTGCTATTTATGTGTTGTAAAAACGTAAGTGTATGCCCATTAGCTCTAGTTTATTATTTTTATGTTCATTTTTACACATTTTGTGGTGTTAAACACTTTCAGTTATCCTAAAGCATGTTTCAAATTGCGCGTTTTTTAAAGAATAAACTTCCATTCATTTTTAAAAACTTTTTATTGGTAATTGAAGTGTCAGTTACAACATTTATATGTGAAAAATAATATCAGCTATATGGCCTAAATTTGAAACTAGACAGACGACCTTTTTTTTGTTAAAATTTTTAATGACATTTTGACATAATTGAGACTCTAATGACACGAATAACTTCATCCTGTTCAGGAATCGACTGTGGATAATTCTTAGAGACCTGGCTTTTCACGTAACCCGAACTTCAACGGTGTCAAATCACAAGATCTTGGGGGCCAATTATCGGAAAACGATTTTTTTGAGAAAAATCAGCTGGTTGTTCAATGTTCATTGATGAACGCGCTATCTATATATTTTTTTAAAAATGCACAAATTGATGAAACACCCTTTACTTTCCAAATGTAATAAAAAGTTTAATTTTAATCCGTCCAGATAGCCAATCAATGATCCATTCAAACTAATTGTTTTAAAAGCAAGTATTTTTCTATTTGATACGGGTATAAATCTGTCGGCCAGCTTGTTGTGGCGGAATTAGGCACTAGACTAATGTTTTTCCACTATAACCTTCATATTTTTATTAAAAAATCTGTCCAATTGTTTTTCATTTCTAAAGAATGTTTTGAAAGAATTTCCTGGGATACTTACTAAATATTCTCTATAGACTGCAATGATTCTTTAGATATTTTTTAAATATTTTTCAATGACTATTCAAAAATAAAAGCTTTTTTGCTGATTTGTGGACTCGAGGAATCCACGTTTTCAAAAAATAGTGCAAAAATACCCTTCGTACGATCTAGTATCGCGAGTATTGCGAGCAGTTACTGTATCGGTAACGTAAAAAAGTTTAATATCCGATCGTTCGTCCGTCCGTCTCCGACCTTTCACACGTTCAAAAACGTTTGGCGTATAAAGCTCAAATTTAGTACACAGAAGTAATAAGAATTGTTTAAACTGTGGTCTTCGCAATTTAACCCTTCCCTCCCTTCAGACCGGGAGCACAAAACGCATGCTTACGTTAATATCTAGCTTTGAGTGTGGTTTTTGATGATCCTCTGCAAATTTCTAGAGGATCCCTGAAGAATATAATAATATAAATTATTGTCTAACAGAAGATATTGCACAATACCCAAAGTACAGCATTTAATCTCCCAATTTATTGTAGATCATAGGTGATTGGATTAATATTTCGTAAATTATATGCGTGTATAGGTCATGAAGTAATTGTAACAGTTTGCATTGCTCGTTATAAGCAAATTAGCTTTTGCAAAATTGCATACGCAGATGTATGTCAGTGGAAATACTTTGACTAAGCAAGTTACATTTATGTTAATTATTTACAATAATTTTATTTTATTTGATTTACCTATCAAACCTTTCCTATGCATGCGCATTGCTTAATATTTTTATCACAAGCAGAGTTTTGACACACGCGTTTTGGGAAATTTTAGTATGTATTACGGATGAGAAAGTAACGATTTTAATTTCAATTTTTCATATGCCACTCTATTGGCACGTTAGAGAGTGTGGTTCAGTTTGTGTACCTAATGTTTAAATCATCTCCTTCATAAAGTAGAAAATTAAAAACGTGTTTTGGTGCAGCAACAGGCGAGGTACCTATTTTCCCAATTTGTACCATTACCCTCCCTGAGTATATCCTGTCAATCAGCCTCAACTACCAAACAGCATCAAAACAGGTGAGTACTTCTCATTTTAATTACAGTCCACATAAAGAAAATAATTAACAATTTATGACAGTGACCGTAAACAATTAATTGTATTCCCAAAAGTTTCTATGTCAGGATAATCAACTTTTTTAGACGCGCTGTAAATTTAATTAATAACAAATTGTATAAAAATGGAACATTTTTCGACAAGTAGCCTGTGTCCATGAGTACCCTTTATCCGAACTACCAAAGGTTAAGTATTTCTTCGTTATACGGGTTGCGAGACTGATTCCATCCGATTGCCATCATCCCAAAGAAATTCACCCCTAAGCGTATTCGTTTGAATAAAGATAATTGATATAAATACTTGAAGAATCTCCAAGGAATATCTGATGAATCTGGTGAATTATTTATCTACTAAATAAGCAGAGTTGCTAGAAGAGATCATGTGTTTCGAAGAAATTGCCCGTTATTTCGGAGGAAGGGGGGGGGGGCGGTCCGTCGAAGATAGCGTTATCAAGTCTAACATTGTGATCGACCGTGTTTTTTAAAGACCTGAATAATGAAATTATTTTAGAGTGGCAGTGGTGTTCCCTTAAATATAAACGAAGCTGCTGCTGCTGATAGCTAGTTTTTGCGATGGTAAAAAGAGCGTGTAAATTTGTTTACGCTAAATCTCGGGTAGTCAGCCCTGATTGAACAGCGACTGTTTTTGTATTGATAAGTGCGCCTGAATATCGCAAACCTTTCACGACCAGATTTTGATTCTTTAAATAACTGTAAGTAATTCAAGATTTTTTTTAATTTATCGACCGCGTGCATGCGGAGTATTAAGTTCAAACAATCTTTTCTTTCTTTGAGGGATTTTGTTTTAATTATTTTACGTGCTTCGGAACTTCGAACGTGGGACCGCACCAATATTTTGTTACTTTTATTTAATCCACTATAACATTACAAAATATTTATACTGGATGCCGGATTCGAACATGAGTCTCTCTTGGCCGTAGTCCAACATCTTACCCAAGTTCACCGAAAAACTAAGCTGCGATTGTAAAGTCTTCCATTAGTTTTCAAGAATTGTATGCAAAATATTTTTTGGAAGTTTCGAGAAATATTGGAATATTCTTTGAAATATACCTCATTATGGAGAATTTCTTGTTAATCTCTGATTCTTTAACGTCTATTTACGAGGGTCTTTCCGAAACTAATGGGTGGTGGAACGCCTTGTACAATACAATCGGACCTTTTCTATCGCCAGGTAAAAATGCGGTTCCTCATTGAAAGTGGATTCTGAAAGATCTCAATCTTGGATCTTAATGCGGATAAAACTACGAAACAAAATTGTTCTTTTAAGCTTTTAAAATGTAACACTTCGCACCAATGACGGCTGAAAACAGGGTTGAAAATTATACCAGCTGGCCGGTCGTTTCCAATATTCAATCAACTTCCTCTTATTGCATGAACCAACCACTTGTTATTAACTGACTTGTAATGGCAACTCGCCACTAATTTAAAAAGCACCCGACAATAATTTCGTCGAATTTGGTGACACAAATCGTCTGGTTGCGCGGCTAATGTTTCTTTTTTATGATGCGGTTATACGGATTTCGGTTTCAATTGAAATTCAACTTTCTCCAAAAAATCGGCGCATGCAACTCACATGATTCACATTGCAAGCTTGACGAAAAATTTCGTGTCACGCAGTCTAGAAACCGCTCTTACTTTACGTAGTTTCGCCTTGAAATGTTAGCTACGCGTCTCTTTCTCCCACCCAATCTTTACTTATGTACTTGCCGAAAACCAAATGTTAAATGTTTTTTATACATGCGAAGGTAGAGCAGAAACCCGGTCACGACAGTTTTTAAAACCGGCAACGCTGTAACGTTTTGACTCTTATCTGCTTGAACACTCGTTTCTTATCTTATTTTAAAGCGTTATATTTTCTCGCATATTTCGCATATTATGAAGCGATCGACGTATAAAATTCCTATACCGGTAAATTTATAAATTTAATATTATATCTTTTTAGGCTATCATCACAAAAACGGTGATTTTGTGGTCGCTTTTGCGGCCATAAAGTTTCACTTTATTGTACGCTTCTGTCAAACTTTACTTTATTGTACACATCTGTCAAACTGTACATATTTGAAACTGA